CAATTCGTATGTTGTTGATGTAAAAGATTCTATTCATACGATTGTAGTGCGCAACGAGTAGCCAAAGACCCAACTTTCAAATGACTAGTGATTACAAATCAGAGCAGAAAGAATCAAGATGACCTACATAATGCATTACTAGTGATTTCAGCCAAAGATTGATGGAAAAATAATGGAAGAATGAAAGTATGCAATAATCAAAGTAACAATGGTGACCTTTTCATTTACGTTTAGCATCTCTTTCCCAAGTCCAAAGGAGCTTAGATGGTTGAGAACCTAAAACATATGGGCAAATTCTCTAATACAGGTAATGCATTTGTTAGTTTACAATTATCTTGTTGTTAATCCTATTCCGATTATAATTGTTATTTTTATTATTGATTTTGGTTGTTAATTTTTGCGCACTCTGGTTCAATTCAACAAGAGGGCGACAACCATTTTTCATGACTTTCGCAACTTTGACTTTTGTCTCTTCCGTAAATTTTAGATTCTCAGTTCTTGGTTCTTTTTTTCTTTTTTTCTTTTTTCTTTTATTTGTGCCCCTCCCTTTTCATTTCGAAGTTTTTGAGCTCTGGCTTGCACATTGGAAAGTGCGCAGGAATGTAGTACAACATATGGCTAACGCATCATATACCATTAAGAGAGGGAAATTGGCTTAATTGGACAGTTAAAGGTAAGACTGCTTATGCAATTCAGAGTTTGGACGGCTACTTGAAATCAGGTTGCCTGGTTAGGCGCTCCAGTCAGCAAAAGTCCTTGGATGATTGGATCTCAAGGAAGTTAAAGGGACAGGGAAAAAGAGCTTAAGAGTCCGCAAAAAAAGGTAAGGATCGGGCGATTGCGCTAAGGACAAACGGATAATTTACAGAAGTCAGAATTACAGCGAAAGCGCTCGAAGCAACGCTCAGTTGCAAAAAGCTTGTTTCATGTAACTAGTTCAAAACAAACTGCAAATAACGGTTAGTCAAAATTACAATTTAGAAAAATGGATGGAAAACCTACTTTCATGGCATTGTTGACAGTTTCACGAGCTCCCGAAATTTCCATTATCATTTCAAGCACTATCTCACGTCCTTCTCATCTAAGCCGCTTGCTTCTAAGATCTAAGCGAAACTAAATGCCGAGAACATATTCGGTTATCCGATTAATGCCCACCTTTGGCACGGGCAAAATCTGCTGCTCTGACTCATCTTTGTACATTGGAAATAAAGCTGGTGACAGAAAACCTCTCGATTTCGCTTTGTCAGGTAGCAACGGAGCCAAGCGAGGACTGAGAATGCGTAAGTTATTAGCTCCAGAAAATGACTTCACAAATCCCATAGCATCTCGTAAGAAGGGAGGAGTAAACTGCTGAAAACCTTCAAGCGAAAATCTATTCATTAACTTAAATTATGTAGAAGAGCCGTGAAATTAAACTTACGTTTTCTTTATTATCGCTTTCTTTAGTGGGATAGTCATCATTTGTTACAAGATCATAGATTTTCGTGTTGTAAACTCGCGATCCAGGCAGTTTTTCATTTTCTTCTAATTTCTTCTGCACTTCTAACATCTTCTCATATGTGGCTGACCATCGCTTCGGCATCTCCGATACAGGGAGCTTTGAGAAAAAGGACAAAAACAAATTACTCAGCCTATGGGCTACGCTCCTTGTAGAAGGTTCGAGAAGATTTGGTATTGTTTGTTGATAGGTTATCTGTAAAAAACGCACTAGTCCCTACATTTATTTGTTCTGTCGTCTTGTGCAGTACAATTCGTAAAGATACCTCATGGAATTCTGTTTCTGACTTGAATACAGATGACATTAGTCTGTAAGGACTCCTTTTCCATCTCAGACTCTCCATGTTGTTTCCGTTATCAGCTATGTTGACAATCTTTTTGATTCTTATGGCTCCAAACTTGATTCTAGCAGCATTTTTCAACCATGATCTTGATTGTGTCTTTTGAATGACGTGCTGGAGCGAAGTACTGAAATCGACGTTATTCATGGTGAAAAATAACATATAAGCAGCAAATGCAGACATTTGAAAAAGTGGAGGGGGGAGGGAGAGGCAAGAAGCGAAAGGAGATTGTTTACAAAAGGTTGATCCACAGCATTCTACCCTCCATCTAAGAATAGAAATACAAACAAAGCAATAAAATGACGTAATCCTTTTGTTGTTAACTAAGCTTAATATGATGGTCTTCAAAATAGAGGAATATTCGTGAATGCCCTGGCCAAAAAAAGGGGAAAGGGAGAGGGGAGGGGGAGGGGAGGGTGTGGTGATAGCTTTGCTCTCCTCCAAACCACCCTTCCCTCTGTCAGTTTCTCTCCCGAGCCCCGCCGAGAAAATTTTCTGCGACCAGGCGTTACGCTTAAAACGAGCATAACTTCTAAATTTAAGAGGGATATGAGCGCCACTGGATTTTCCAGCGAGGGAAGCACCTAACAAAGGATATTTCAAAAATTGCTTTTGTGAAAAATACCCACCCATGTTGTGCGAACTTTTCTTCGCCAATTTTTGCTTTGGCAAGACATCTTGCAGTTTTTGTGAGATCCTTTGTTTCATTTATGTTTTTGAGACATCTTTTGAGATACTGCACAATCTCTAAAATAAGACAAGCAAGTGCTATTTGTATGTAGACAAATGCGAAGATATTCAATCAAAGAAACAAGCAATTGAAAATCAATGAGATTTAGATGATAAGTAACAATTCGAAATTAGTAAGAT